AAAATCGTTAGAACATATGCTAATTACATACTAATAAATCTTATATAATAATAATACAAAGATGAAGTATGATATACTAACATTTTTAACGATATATTCTAATTTGATGATGCAATGTTCATTGTATGGTTTTGGATTTTGAACTTTTCTTTAATTTTTAATTATTTATAAACAATTTACGTTGACTTTTTAAAACTCACTGAAAAAAAACTATTTAAAATAAGTTTAGAAAAAAAAACATTTCATTATTATTAACTATTATTATTTAACTTTTTAATTAAGACTGTTTTTAAACTTTTAAATACGTGTACTGCATTTTTATATGGAAATACATGTGCTTGATTTAGATTCACATGTATGTTGTTAAAACAACATATTTATATAAGAATATTTTAATACATGTATTATTCGTGCTAGGATTTTTTTTCAGATGCCTAAAGTGTAAACATGTAAAATTGTTTATGATGAAACAAATATGATAGAGTCATTGAATAAAATTAATGTTTTATTATGTCCACATCTTTTGGATTAATACATATTTCATGCGAACACATCGTTTTAATTAATTTATTTATAACGTAATAACAGCATTTTTTATTATTTATTTATTTCATGTATTATATGAGCACTTTATCTATAATTCACATGCAAGTATTCATCAATATTAGTGATAGAGTGGATTATTTAAAACTGAAGTATTATTACATTACAGTTGTCATTCTTTAGTTATTTCCGTTAATTACACGTATCTTATATTTGGTGTGGTAATAGCACAAACTTAGCACGTGATTTCACCGATCATCAAAGCAATTTTGAAAGCGAAAAGCGAGTGTTATGTGCATGTATTAAGTTTAGTCAACCTTCAAGTTCAAATCGTGGTCCATGACATTGCAGCAACAACATTCATTACCAGCGTGGTGTCAGCACCAAGCATGGGTCGATCACTGGATATTAGTGTGAGAGATGATTCATTCATTTTTTCTTGACTTTCTAGCCTGTAAAATGTCAATGCGTGGCTTCTTAGTGCTGTACGTCTGTTGCCAGAAATAGCTTCAAAACCAGGTTTACAAACGTATGTCGGAATAAATCAAAGGATATCCCATATAAAAATGGCGTCTAGTTTTGTCCATGTGTAGTAGAGATTTATTGTTACTAGAAAGATATTTTACCAAATAAGTTGAATGTATTTAAGACTAAGTATTGTTGTATTCTGCTTAAGCCGGTGCTAAGCAAGAGACTACATTTAACACTGCCTTCAACGTCGAGCCTGCTTTTTATTATTATCAAATATTTAATTATGTGTTGCTATTTATGATGAAAAAAAAGTGTTATTTATAAGTATCTTTAGATAGAACAACCTGTACAAATAGTGTAATGTGTAGGTATTTTGAATATAGAAAGAGTAATTTATAAGTTTATTGAAGGGGTAGAAATATTTGTATTAAATATGTTATATAAAAAGTGTCATTTCTAAGTATCTTGAAGGCAGAGTAATATAATATTATTCAGAAATTATATATATATTTATTACGTAAAACTTGCATTATCAATTTACAGTGCTCATTACATTATAATATTATATACAGCAGAATGAGATGGAATTGTATTTTTAATCAAAGTTATTTGAACATACAGACGTGTATCACTTTAAATTCACTTAAAATAAGACCCACTATTTTATTTTACTTTTGGGGGGTGGGGAGACAAGTGTATGAAAGAATCAATTTAATTTACCTTGTTTCAAATACTGAACCATACCAATCAACAATTTTAAATAATGAAATATTATGCAAACTGGTAAGAGTTTAAGAAGCTGTCCTTTAAAAAAGAATACATTATTCAGACAAATCTTGGTTTTATGCATAAATGCACTTATAACGTTATCAATAGATACAGAGTATCGATCTGAAAGGAAATGCATTAGAGCGAGCATTACATATATAATTAGCGTGTATGTGAATACATCAAAGCTGAACTTCTGATGAACTACGTGTGAATTTCCAATACTCCTTGCCTACTGCTGTACATGCGCCGAACATGCGACCTTTAACATCCGTATGGTGATAGCCACACCGTGTTACGCCCAAAAGCTTGAAGAAAAGTTTTGAAATGAAACATTCAGAATGAATTAAGGATTGTTTCAATTAATTTGAAAAGAAAGCTACCGATCATTAATCTGACAAAAACCACACCTTTATTAAAATATTTTAATATGTATTTCAGAAATTTTAAGTTATTGTTTTCCTTTACTTGAAATAAAAATTAAAGAAATACTGTTTTTTAAATCGGACCATATCAATTTTATACATAAGCATTTTAATTCTTCAAGGATTTGTTATTCCTGATGAATTTTAATTTTTTGTATAATACTATTAAGTTTTTAACAAAAATCCCTTGTAAACCTTTTAGAAAACGGATTTTATGAAATGTTTTATACCGAACATTTCATTTTAATACATGTACTTGTATCCCCTTTTTATTCTTAGATATATGCCCCTCTCCGTCTTGCCACGCTACCCTGCTACAACCCCGTAGAATAACAAAACAGTGCCGGAATGTAGGGGTTCCCTTGGTCTATGCATACATTTCTAGTGAACATATTGTTTTTGCTTTTGGATACATTTTCCCCTTCAATTTATATATTGCTTTTATATAAACAAGATGAAAATATTTTTCTTTTTTTAAATTAACACTAAATATTAGGGGTTTTCATTATGTACTTATTTGGCTGTAGTCGATGCACTGCATTCTGGAACCAGATAGACCTATCATATGGTAGAGTACCAAGAGTAAATTCATGACGTCATTTTAGTCTAACCATTGTAAGATTTCGCTGTCAAGTCGAAGTACTTGTATTCTAAAAACTTTATGTTTTTAAACATTTGTTTGTCTTCATTTTCTATTCTTATATTTACATTATGTTTAAAACTTTGTTCTGATAAGTTACGTTTTTGCACAGAAAAAAAGTAATATTTGGTCATTTTTAAAGAAGAATACGCCCAAAAGCTTATAGGAATAGTTTTAAAATGAAGAATACACCATGTTTGTTCCTATTTTGATTGACTGTTGTTACACTCGTCTATATTAAAGATAGTGTCGGTCATAAAGTCAAAAACCGCTGGAAATATGCATGTGAACATGTATTTTGTTTATGGTATAAATTGGTGCTGACGATGTTTTTACCTGCATGTCAAAACCTACGTGTTTGCTGTCTACAAGAAATCATTTCATGAATTTGTCTTGAAATGCCATAGCCATCTGACTGCCAGGATCTAAGTAAGAAATAAAAATATATTGTACTTTATTAAGTATATACATGTGTATGTATTGTCCGTTTATTTAAAACAAATTTTAAGAATATCGACATGCAGGACTTACCTATGTATGTCGGTGATTTTATTGTAAATATATTTGTTATAATGAGGTATAAGTATATGCTCTTTAAAGCTAACAAGTATCTATATTAATTTAAAACCAAGAGAGGCAACTCTGTTGCGCTTGCTTAAATAAATGATTGACTTTTAACTTACCTGCACCGCCACGAAGAAATATATAGCATCTGTTGTGAGAAATTTGCCCTCTATCATCTCTAGTATTAATGATTCTACTTCCCTAATTGATAGGGTAACTTGTACATTTATTTATAACAAGAAAATGTGAAATCATGTTTGTTCTGCTTTAAAGTTGTCCCATATTTTTTTTTTAAAAAGGGGCCTTTAAAGTTATTCATAACCCCCGTAAAATTGGTTCCCGGGAAAATTTTTACTAGTAAGTTTCGGAAATCTTTAAAATAAAATGTACTTTACTACTACACGTTCACGGTGCATGCCGAGTACGTGAGACCTAACAATATTCTATCGTTGTCGATATTCCATATATTGAACTAGACAAAATGGTGTTCGTGTTTTTAAGAATTAACTCACAGACAGACGGGCCATATATTTTACGTAAAGACACATGAAGTCATTTGCCCATATATTGATATTGAATTAGTCTTGACCGGGAATTGAAATGTAGAAATTTCCTTACAAAGTAAAAATTGGGATTAACATTTTTTAATTTTTCACCCACCAACAACTAAACCAACGTATATAGAGCTTAAACCTATTCCCTCAAAAAAAGTTCAAATTTGAGAATTATTAAATTGGTTGTCACAATGGGTCTTCCCAATATTTTCCACGACTCAGCATGTAATCTGAAGTATAAAAATCTTACTGAAATTGTGACCGGAACTGTTTCTGAAAATACCGGGTTTCCATGGGTCGGCTCGATAACTTTGCGTATTTAAAATGAATACTGTTTGGGGTTCCGCGTTTTTTAGTTGTTTTTATTTTCCTTTAAAAACCTGTTTTTTTTTGTCCCCCAAAAGAAACAACTTTTTTTACGTAACGGGACAATGAGGTACATTTTTTTAAATTTTTTTTAAACCTTTTTTTAGTTGATTTTTTTTTTTTTAAACATAAAATTTAACCAGGGGCCCTACTCCCCTACACGGATAAATGTCCCATAAATGTAAGCCCAAAAATCTTTAAATTTCACCCTGTGATGATGAAAAAAAGCAGGGCCTTTCTCCCCACTTTAATTATTTGTTTTTTGTTGAATTTTTTGTCTCTAAGCTTTACAAAATAATTTTACGAAATTATTTTAGCAACCCGTTTTTTAATATATTTTTTTTAAGCCCACCCCTGATATAAGCGTGGAGTTTCCGATACGCCGTGAACAGTTTAAAAATAGCAAATACGGGCAAAATCGAGGGTGATTAATTTATGATATTTCCGATAGATTTAAACTATGTTTTAATATACCTTCTAACACTCACCAGAATCTCAGTAATGTAAACATATATCTCTTTGTTAATTTTTTAGACCCTATGCAATAGTAAAACACATATTTAATCGTAAAGTAGCATAACTTACAAGCAATTTCCTGAGTTCGTTTCCGACAATCCTTACAAGTAACAAATGATACATGACCTGACCGAGATCTGCGTGTTTACCATTCTGCTTTCACGAGGTTAGTTGATGATCTTACATATAAGACCAGCACCCACTGGCCGAATTCATTCAAAACTCAAAAAGTGTCGTTCATATCAGACGTGCATACGGATAAAATATATTGTGATAATTGTGTGTGTATAATATAACGAATTAATCGAAAAGGTAAATATATCTTTTACTTTATTATTAAATATACCGTGTTTTTTCCTTAACGCTATGGATTTTTCTTTTCAACATAATATATAATATTTATATTAATAGACAATGATGGAGATGTGTTCTAAGTCAAACATTTATGAAGTTTTTTATGTTTTTTGTTTTTTTTTTAAAGATTTATGAACCGTCATGGACCTTTTTCTATGTTGAACAAATATGCTTAAACTTATTATAGATCTTTAAACATGTGTATTCGTTCACAGTTTTTGAAACTCAAAAGTAGACGCAATGTATTACCGAAAGATATTTCGTCTAAACCTTGTGAGAAACTGTATTTAAGTAACAGAGTCATATATATACGTATATTTCACATTTTTATAATTTTGTATTTTATAATTTATTTTGTATCATTGAAATTAATGGCTAGTTGCAAAATTTACTTTCTTCTAAAGACGATAATAAAATGCATGATCTCGTATAGAATCTATGTTTATTCATTTTCATATCGCTTATACGAATTGGGCAAATTTGAAATAAATATAATTCGGAGACTTAAAAAGTAGAGTCAAAGTTTCGATGAACCCCTTCAAACTCCCAACTTGAACAAGCTGATAATTAATGCATCATGCGCATGCCAATTCACGAAGACTTTAGATGTTCATAAAGTTTTGTAGACTACTCGTAAACAAGTTATTTATATCACGGAAGACAAAAGAAGTTGATCGTTGTGAAATATTTGTGCGGATCTTGGGAAATTTCTAACTTACCTTTAAGATTTATATATAAAGGACACTTCATTGAAATAATCATAATCAATTTAGTTGTAAACGTGATAGTCCATTCCGCGATTAACCATTGGAATAGATTTAGACTGAACATTAACATTTTTAACAGTGGTCGTTTACTTCTGCAGATATAAATATGTTGGACAACGAAGTTAACAAGAACGAGCAAGTACAGGTTGCAAGAAGGATGATGATGGGCAACGTTTCTGAAGCAGGTATTTCATCTCTCTCAGCCATGCCAATGGAGAGCAGCTCCGTCATGTCACAAATGCCAGGATGCCCAAAAGGTGGCGTTATAGTTAAGGTATTGATTACATGATAATTTGTTGTCTTTTACAATAAGAGTAATTTATAATTACACTTAACAAATGTTTTAATGTCTACTATAAATTTGAAAATGGCTGGCCTTAAAACATGAAATCTTAATTAATTTGACCTTTGTTATAACTTAAGACTTTTGTTCTATTTTTTACCTCTAATTTTCTTTGGTATCAGAGTCACCTGTCTTTAATAAAATATTACTAGTATTCATAAATTTATAATAGTTTGTTTTATTTTTGACTTTACAGGTTTGCTTTGCTGGTATTTGTTTCTCAGAAGGTTACATCAGAAAGGGTCATTTCAGACCTGCTCTTCCAGGTAAACAACATGTACCTTTACCAACTCATGGAGGTGCGCACATCTTGTCATCAATAGCTTAATTTAGCTTCACCTTTTGTTTTATTCCCCTCTCCTAAGCTAGCATCTAGTTACATAATATAGCATATTTTACCTAAATAAAAAGTTCAGAAGTATTTCCCATGTGGAAACATGATTGGACACAGTTATTTTTGCCTTTCCTGCAAATATGTTACTTACACTTAAAGTGGATTGGTCTGTTATATCAGTGATAATGATATTGATTTTATTATGTATCGTGACAACAAAAGAAATATATATTGACATGTTCATGCAAATTAACTTAATTCAAGAAACACCTTTTTTCAAGAAAAAATCATTAGAATATTCAAATGATACATTTCCGTTGTTTAATCCAATATTTTATGTAAAAAAACTTTGGAAAATGTGCCTATTGTAGACCAATGGCAATCCACTTTAAACGTAACGTGTTATTAGCAACCTAGCCTCCAGTTTTGATGATAAGATGTGCTCCTTGCTGAACCTTTTGCTTTACATGCTTTTTGTGTTGCTGTCATTGAAGATGTATTGGCATTAGTTATTAAGTGACTGAAAGTTTGAAAGTTAGAAAATAATGTTTATTAAAAAAAATCATAATGTTAGATGTTAATAGTATAGTTTATCTGATCTTCTTAAAGTGTTTGTCATGTTCATTATTTAGCTTACAACAAACCAAATTTCAGCGGTCGTTTCTTTGGCTATTACAGGTACTGAGATAGCTGGTGTTGTACATGATGTTTGCAACACTCTTCCAAACTCAAATATAATTCCTGGTGACCATGTAATAATTTTCCCAGAAGAAGACATGGCTCATGATGGCTTCCAGGAATTCATTCCTGTTGAAAATATCGAGAACCTGGTACAGATTCCAAACAGTATTCCACTAGAGGTCGCTTCTATGCTTCCAGGCAGTGCACTCTCTGCTTATAACGCCGTATTGAAAGCACAACCACATGTCGAGAAACTACAGCAAGTAAAATGTAAGCATTTATTTCTTATTTTCCGATTTTTAGCTTCGTTGTGTATTTGTCCTCTGTGAAGGTCAAAATTAATAAAATATGATATTTTCGGCATTGATTTAATTTGTTTCATACAATTGTTATATTCTAAAGTACAACGAACTTAAGAAAACTAATTTTATTGTATTTTTAATTTACAGCTTGTGTCAATGTTCTTATCGTCGGAGCTGGAAGTTTAGGTCTGTGGACTTTGAGACTTGCTAACTACCTCATTGGACAAGAGAACAGTAACATCCGACTGTTTGTAGCAGACAACAGTATTGATAAATTGATCACAGCACAGGAGCATGATTGCCATGACATCATACACTGGTGTGAGGAAGATCACGAGCAATACATCATTGAAAGAACTCTTGATGCATGCACAGGAGGCGTTGATGTTGTTGTAGATTTTGTAAGCTCGCCTAGAACAATGATGAGGTCATTGAAATGCCTAAACAGAGTAAGTATTTAATAGCCATTGCATATTTATTAATATTCTACGAATATTTAGATCTTTAATTTTTTGTAAAATTTTATTTTTATCTGCTTTGATATTTGAACAAAAATGACAAAAAAACGTTACACTTAAGGATAAATTTTAAGTTGTTAAACAATCTTTACAAGTTAAGAGTCAAAGACTAAATGTTTTTTATTCAAATTTAAACTAACGAACAATAGTAAAGAAAATGTTTGTTGCTGTTTCTTGCAGGAGGGTTTGATTCTTGTTGGTGGAAATGCAATGGCAGAGGTATCAATAAACTTGAACACCTTGGCAGCCAAACAACAAAGTATTGTAGGCATCCCTAAAGGATCAGTAGACCAGTTGAGATTTCTTGTAGATACAATTGCAGATAAAAAGGTGAATACACTTGACTGGTTACATTTTGTACATAAAATAAGAATATTAAACTTGATCAAGAATGATAAGTATTTAGAAGAAGGTAATGAAAATGATGTATATAATAGCCATATTTTTCTTAAGTTTTCAAGGATTACAGAATTTGTCTTTAATATTATCTTTGGTGTTTTATTCATGATGAAATTATTTGCTTTTTAGGTTGAACCACCAAGTTTTTCAGTGCATAATGTTGAAGAAACAAGCCAGGTTCTACAAGAATTATACGAGTGCAGACTAACTGGAAGAGCCGTTTTGAGATTCAACTACGTCAATACAACAACTGGAACAACGGACGTCACGGATAACTAGTCACAACTCATTTTAACATTAACATTTAATGAAATACGTTTTCGGGACGACTTGGTGGCAACGTTAGCGAATTTTAATCCCACTGGCATTACTGTACTCATATTGATCTCAAGATTGTATGAGCGGAGTAAGGGGTTTATTGTGGTCAGTATTCCCAAAGATTCAGATCTGACGTGATGCGTTGCTAAGTGACATTTACCTCATAACTTGTTGCTAAGCAATGGTTGATACAGACCAATGGCTTTGTGTTGCCATAGTCGGGCACATGGTGCTATAACAGGACAGAGTGGCTGACTCTGTACGTTAAACAAGAGATTAGAGAGACTTGTCTTGATATTTTGCAGTCAACGGGTTCTGTTTTAGATGATGACAAGAACAATTTTGATACATCAGATATATACAAACTAACAAAGGAAGCAACAAGAACGAAAAAAAAACACATAAACATTATTCATTGATGTTTTTAAAAGCACTATGATTATGAATTTCGATCTAGACTATTTTTTTTCATCTAAAATCGGGAGAAATTGACTGATGAATATAGTGTTGTTTATGGTTAGTGTTTTAGTTGTGTACAAACTTTGTGCTTAACTCAATTTAGTGCTAAAATAATTACATTGCATCCTTTAGTAAAAGATATATGAGAAGAGATAATGAAACTGTCCATTTACAAATTCAGTTTGTATAAAATTCCATTTCAACTGTGATTCATATGTTAATAGTTTGTTTGATATTTTTTGCATGATTAGAGAATAACATTTAATGTTGTTGAATGTATGTTTATGCAGCAAAGTGCTACATTGGAAGTATGCTATGTTATTAATTAGTTTTATTTGTTAATTATTGAAACGTGTTCAGATTCTTTGTATTTATATGATATAAAAGTGTTGAAAATACTTGCAAGAAAAAAAAACAATAATAAAAATGTTCATTAATGATAACATTGTCTTGTTATGTATAATCCTATTAGAACACCGAGTGTAAGATTACAATAATTGGCAGCCGTACATCTTAGTTTAATATTGCACGATTGGCACCAATATTGGTATGGATGATTTTTATTGCCAATCACAAAGCACAGATAATTGAACATATTACTGCAAAAGAAACTGTTTTGGTGGTGAAAACAGACTTTAATAATGAAAGTGTATTAAGTTATACACTGTATATCCGGTCTGCAGGGATTAAAATGCAATGTGCGAATTGTCAAATATTCTTAATGTTCTAAGCCAGAATGAGGTGAAATTAGCTTTACTTATATTAAATATGGCAAAGATCGTGTGCAACAACAAAGAATCGCCATGAAAATGACATAAAACAGATATCAAATTAAAAATGTATGACCCAGTTCTTTGACAGTGAAACATTTAAGGTTAAACATCTAGCGAGATTGAGTAATTACTTTAGCAAAGATTGAAATAACAAAACTTGATAACACCAGTAAAATGACGTCAAACTAGGCTTCTATGGAGGAACATATATTTGCCCCGCCTGTACTAATTGTCGAGTATAATTCATGCACAAAATAAGTAAAAGCTATTTTTTATTCAAACAAAGCACTGAAAGAAGTACGGTGTCAGGTCAATGACCGCGTTTCAAGACAGACGCCGTTATATCTGTTATCATTACGGCCGGTAGCTAGTCACGTTCACAAGCATTCCAATGTTATTTACTTACTTTTTTTAATTTGATAATGTTAAAATAACTATTTATGTACGTATTGGTTATGTGCGTTAAATGTTACTTTTCAAAGAGAACCTTTAAACACTATTCTGACCCGACCTGTGTTTAAAATTTAAGTTGCACTAGTCATTTAGGTTATGAACTGGCAAAGATTAGATAAAGGTTAACATCTATCCTTAACCTCGGTAACTTTCATATTTCTCATTAAGATTAATTTAAATACCTTCCAAAATATCTTTACCTTTGTTAAAACGGGGGTTAAAAGTCACACAGATACGCAAGGGAAGCCAGTTCGATGGATGTTGCCCATATGAATAGTTTATCAAAACAAAGTAAATATAATTGAAATAGTACGTCAATTACCGAATTATTCTCGCATATGTTCAAAATCAATGAATCTTGATAGTGCTATAAAGTTACGGCGAGATAAACAGTTTACTCGATAACATGACTTAGAAAAAAATATGTTTACATGTAAATTGCGTCCTTGAACTTGACTTGCTTGCAGAAGAACGTGAACATTATTATGTGAAAAAAATTGTGAAAGGATTATAAACAAATATATTAAACTTTTACACAACTGTTCCATGTCAATACGGATACACTTTAGCAAAGACATGAATATAATTATATATACTTAACTACAATACCAAAATTATATATTAGATACCAAATATCTATTACTATTATCTGCTTAACAGATTCTTATTTACCCTGTATTTGCTCTTTTCGCAAGTATTGAAACATAAGCAAAGTACATAAAACAATTCAATTCAAATCTTTTATTCATTGAAGCTAACAAAATAATAACTTACATTCATCAAAAAAAAATGTAATAAACAATTACAATTATGAGTACAATAACAAGATTGGTGCAATTTTAATACCTAATGAATAATGCTGTTGCAATTGTTATTATACTTTTGCAATATAGAAAAATGCCAAAAACGAAACATCAACAACAAAAAAGGTCCATAAATCTTACGTGTCAAAACAACTCTAAATAGAAAGATTTCAATAAACACTGCAACCTTGTTCTATAAACCGTTAAACCTGTACAACTCGTACCCTTTTAATCAGTATAAAACCTTTTTTTTTAATGATTTAGGTCAAAAGTTTGTCATATATTTCTTTAACTTTAAAACTTCGATAAGACCATACTAAAACGTTATCCAATACATTCATATAAGCGCAATGACCGACCTCTATACACTTCGTAAATCGGTTAATTTATGCCAATACTAGAGTGTCTTGTTTACAATGTATAGCGAAACTGTGTTTGTTTTTTGTGTTGTTACTTTTTTATGGTTATCCCTTTTTAAAAGTAAACATCGTGATTCAATTAAGGTGAGAAAAAACAAATTATTGACATGTACATATGTTTACAGCAAAATCTAATTACATATTTACATGTTAGTTTGAGAAAGGGGGGATATGTGTGTTATTTCGGTGGATGCACAAGATTACTGTATTACTTTCTGTGACAAAAATTGCACAAGTTTTATTTGGTTAAGAGATATTTTAACCCTCTCTTCCTAAATACAACCCATTAAACAAAATATGAAAGTGACACTAATGCAACGTCAGCAAAAAGGTGAAAATAAATAAATAAATGATATGTACTAAATGTCTTTGTAATAGTGCATTCATTTATTCTGTAAGCAAAGAATGCAGGTCAGCATTTACGTCAACATTGTAGATGCTAGTCGAATATTGCTGTTATTTATATATCATCTAAAATGTTCTAAAAAGGCTATGATCTTGAGGTATTCCCCCCCCCCCCCCCCCGTATTCAAATACATTTTGCACATTCTTTGTCAACAGACTTAATTTGCAGACATATATCAGACTCACCATAATATTTTAACGACCATTTCATAATTATTACATTTGAATTGTAATAAAATCATTGAATGTTTTCACTAACTGTGTCTCAAACCAGTGCACAAAGACCAATCTATAAACGTTTAAACTATTTTAATATTACACATCAAACTACAACATAGCGTCCGCCCTTGTCATAATTATAAAAACTCAATAAAGGGAAAATATACCTGACCGTATTTTACCAACCACATAACACTTTTATTATTATATTGTAAACACGTTGTTTTACTTTAAGTAGTAGATTACGATCATTACTCATAGTCACTGTAATATAAGAAGATTTATAATTTTGCCATCATAAGTACGAGTATAACGTTTCAAAGTTCACTTTGTTGTTGCTGCTCTGATTTTAGGTCGTTGTTTTTGTGTTGTTATTTCTTAATTGTAAAGAATAGTTTTCTATTAGTGCAATTGTAAGATATAGTTGGAACGTACGTATAATTAATGATAAACATACCATTTAACGCATTTGAAAACACGCAATTGTTTGTTTGTTTGCTTGCTTGCTTGCTTGCTTGCTTATTCATCCATTCGTTCATTTATTTATTTATTTATTTATGTTTTATTTATGTATTTTTTATTTATCTATTTATTTATTTTTCGACATTTTATATAACTATAACTTATTTGAAATCGCGCAAATGTTTTTTATTCATATTTATTTATAGATCTATATTTTTCGATATTTTATATAACAATTCAACAGATGTTATCACTACTGCAAAAAGCATAATTAAAAGTAGGAAGTAGTACAATTAAAACATTGATTCCTGAGTTTTACATAACATTTTATTTACAAGCTTCAGGGTCACCTCTAACATCACAGACATTAGCCAGTAATTGATAAATGATACAAAAACGTATTCCTCTGACAGTGTTGTTTTCCATACAGGACTCTCTCGTAAATCGATAAGAAAAGATTTAATTTACGTAAATGACCTAGATAGTTTCCTCTTGTAAAGAAAATATTTCAATTTGATATTGTTGTTGTTGCAGCTTTTGCTAAAATAAATGTACAGAAGCCGGGAAAATGTGTATTATAATTATGCACTGGAGTGAACACGTGCAATTTATTACAATTTGCTTTTATATTATTAGTTATATGACTCAGAGCATAAAACTAGCAATACAACGTACAAACTTCACAAAATAAAATTGTACAAAGTACAAAGACCAATGATCATGTAATAGACTGGTACCAGTTGACTTTAGTCCCTTCTTTCCTACACTAGTCTTGTTTTCTACTTTTTCCCCTACGGATATGCCCTATATTAAATCAAAGTGAAATACTATCATTTGTCGAAATGTATGTGGTATTTGAATAACTTGCGTATAAATTCATTCGAATGTTAGTCGAAATGTAGAATTGTTCGTTAAGTTCAAAACATAACATGTTTTTACTCGACTGTGGAGTAAAATTGAAGCTTATTGTGTGTGTTATTTGATTTTAGAAATTGAACCACTGTCGAGTCCGCTTCCTAGAACTAAACAACGCTGGTCCCTTAAAGTAAAACCTAGTCTTGGCTACATTTGGGCTCAAACCCATGACAGTTGTGTTTAGAGACCAATACCATAACCAATAGGCTGTCGCTGCTTTTAGTGTTGTAATGTAACTGGCTAGATTCTTGATCACAGGCGACAATGTAACATGTGGCCTTGTGGTTATAAAATATTTCTCAGGTCAGTCTCAGAATTTCCATTGGTCAATAAAAACATTCTGTGTTGGTTTCTGACCATTGAAATACCTGATATCTGAGTTTAAGCTAAGGAAAGTTCCTTTTATCTTATAACTTTCGGGCCTAGAATGGTTGTGTTCTAGGTGAAAGAA